CCCTTGGCAGAAAAACAGCCCCATAGCATGATGTTTCCACCCCCATGCTTCACAGTAGGTATGGTGTTCTTGGGATGCAACTCAGTATTCTTCTTCCTCCAAACACGACGAGTTGAGTTTATACCAAAAAGTTCTACTTTGGTTTCATCTGACCACATGACATTCTCCCAATCCTCTGCTGTATCATCCATGTGCTCTCTGGCAAACTTCAGACGGGCCTGGACATGCACTGGCTTCAGCAGCGGAACACGTCTGGCACTGCGGGATTTGATTCCCTGCCGTTGTAGTGTGTTACTGATGGTGACCTTTGTTACTTTGGTCCCAGCTCTCTGCAGGTCATTCACCAGGTCCCCCGTGTGGTTCTGGGATCTTTGCTCACCGTTCTCATGATCATTTTGACCCCACGGGATGAGATCTTGCGTGGAGCCCCAGATCGAGGGAGATTATCAGTGGTCTTGTATGTCTTCCATTTTCTGATGATTGCTCCCACAGTTGATTTTTTCACACCAAGCTGCTTGCCTATTGTAGATTCACTCTTCCCAGTCTGGTGCAGGTCTACAATACTTTTCCTGGTGTCCTTCGAAAGCTCTTTGGTCTTGGCCATGGCGGAGTTTGGAGTCTGACTGTTTGAGGCTGTGGACAGGTGTCTTTTATACAGATGATGAGTTCAAACAGGTGCCATTCATACAGGTAACGAGTGGGGGACAGAAAAGCTTCTTACAGAAGACGTTACAGGTCTGTGAGAGCCAGAGATTTTCCATGTTTGAGGTGACCAAATACTTATTTTCCACCCTGATTTACGAATAAATTCTTTACAAATCCTACCATGTGGATTCATGGATTTTTTTTTCACATTCTGTCTCTCACAGTTGAAGTGTACCTCTGGTGCAAATTACTGACCTCTGTCATCATTTTAGTTGGGGGAACTTGCACAATCGGTGGCTGACTAAATACTTTTTTGCCCCACTGTATTTGAGAGATTCCTTATCTATACTCTGTTTAGGGATGGGTATCGTTTAGGTTTTATCCGATACCGGTACTTTTGAAACTGTGCGGGTGCTTAAATGGTGCTCTAACCGTTGCTTCCTTCTCTCACCCCAACCGGTCGCAGCAGATGGCCCCGCCCCTCCCTGAGCCTGGTTCTGCTGGAGGTTTCTTCCTGTTAAACAGGAGTTTTTCCTTCCCACTGTTGCCAAAGTGCTGCTCATAGGGGGTCATATGATTGTTGGGTTTTTCTCTGTATCTATGAAGCGCCTTGAGGCGACTTTTGTTGTGATTTGGTGCTATATAAATAAAATTGAATTGAATTGAATTGCTTAAAGAATGGAGAACACAAACTTTGTCCAAAAACCTCTTATGTTTTTATTTTTAGCAGTCTCTTTTTTCTGCAAAATGATAACCAAGTTAGCCTTTTCTTTTGATACAACATACCTACTTTGTTTGGAACCGGTGAATAATGGAAAACATGTTTAGCTGTTTGTTTTTTTTGTAAAAAGATAACGGTGTTAGCTTTTTCTGCAGCTACAGGGCATGTATGGTATCACTCTATCAAACAAGAAGACAGTCGCATGTAACTACGACGGTGTTTGCTAGTTCACCTTACATGCATTAATGTAATAACGTGGTTAGCCTACTCAACGTAAATTACACATGAACAACATTAAGCTCCTCACACAGAGAAGAACGGTTGCTGCTGCATCATCATCCGTCTGCTACACTGGCAGGGCTAGGGGCCAGGACTCTCCTCTTCGGGTTTTTGGGGGATGTTGCTAACTCCAGGTCCAATAACAGGCAACCCACCCGCAGCAGATGTGCTCGGTGTGAAGTCTCGCAGCAAGCTATCAAATACGATGCATTTCTCTGCTTTTAAAAAAACGCTATTGCGTTGCCAGGTTTTCATTGGATTCGAGGTGTTACTTCCTTTGCACAGTATCACAGTATCACCTTAAAGCACTTGTTGCTGCTGAGTTTGCATATTTTCCTGTGAAGTACAGCCAGACTTTTGACCGCTTTGCCTTGGACATTTAATCTGTAGCTCTGCTCTCAAAGAACATACGTACCTGGACCCGCCTACTATCCTCGGAAACGTAAAATGATTGGCTAGAATCCAAAGTGTATGACATCTCAAGAAAAAAAAAAGCCACCCGTATCCGGTATACCCGCACCCAATGTTCCCTCTAATTTTTCATGTGTCTGAGCGAACACAGAAACTCCCTGAGCGATCCCTTGGACCACTGTGAGCAACAGCAGACGTGTGCACTGTGGTGACGCCAGCATTGAATCCATGCAAGTTACATGGTTTATTAAAATAATAAAATTACAGCATTTACATTTATGTTAGACTACTTTTAATTAACTATTTTACCCACTTACAATGAAAATTTAAAAAAACAAAACAAAAAAATCTTGTTCATGACCTGTGTAGCATGTTAACACTATTGGAAGTAAAAATAACTTGAACTCCAATTTTGAAAACACAAGTTTCTTTTGTTTTTTTTTTCATAAAGCTCTGACTTGTATTATGAGTCTGTGGTCTGGGAGAGAGTCTGTAACTCTGTCTGCAAAATACAGTAAATAATGACCAATGTTGGGTAATTAATTATATAGTTACTTCTTCAAAAAAGTAACTGAGTTATGCAAACAACAAAGTTTTTTGCAGCTGTTTACCTAAAAATGCAGCCAAGGCGTTTTTTTAAATAAACATTTTAAATTATTTAGAGAACAATCATCAAATTGCATCAAATCTGATGCCACACAAATTATTTGTGCCACTCCAAAAATAATTTCTGTCAACTATGAGATGAAGGAGAACAACAGCCTGATACCTGCAGGCCTGACAGCAGCAGATGTGTCACTGCTGTAACACCTGTAACACTCAGCAGTCGCCTCATTGTTCTGACACACACTAAACGTCGCCACGCCGCTTTGCTCGCTAAAACACCGGTGTCGGCACATAAGGACGCTGTCAGAGCCTGTCAACGACATTGATTAGCTGCGTATATACGAATGTGAATCGCATTACTGGCTGGATCCCATACGGGAGCAGCCAGTCACTGACTAACACTGCAAAACAGACTTGTTAAAGTATTGATTTTAATTTCAATTCAGGTTAGATTTTTTTTTTGTGCGCAATGCAGATTTTCTGTGCGCAGAGACCGTGCCAGCAGTGCGCAATTGTGCACACACACAGCTTCGAGGGAACATTGCCGGTACCCATTCCTAACTCTGTTCCACATGTGTTATGTTTCCTTCAGGATTAGCTAAATAAGAGAGGATTATTTTCCATTTATTAAACTGCATTTAGCTACTCTTTCGTATCACATTTACTTTGGGAATGCACCAATTGGTCCACATCCTGTTTATGCAGGGCCCACTTTTAAACGGTAAATTGCTGAAAATGTAGCCATATATAGCGCTTTTCTGTGTCTTGCACTCCTTTGCATAGATTGAAGCATCTGTGTGTTCCTGTTTTGTTGAGTGTATCTGTCTGTGTGGCTGTTGAAGGCTACTGAGAGTGTGACCTTCACAGTTCACCAGAGGACCATCTATTACATTTGTTAGGTTATGCGTTTTTGATATTATTGCATCCTCACTGGCACACTCAGTCCTTAGTGTGGGCTTACCCTGCTCCATACCTTGTTAAGGATAAAGAACTTACAACCTGGAAGTAGATTATATCTCCCATAGTGAGATACAGAGAATGGTTGCTTACCAGGGTAACTCTGGTTTTCTGAAACCCAGGTGATGTTTGGTTTTCACCTCCAAACAATCGCAGTCAGAGATCAGGGAAAGAGGAAAGAGCAGAGAGCGTCAAAATAAAAGGGAAATTATGGGAGCAAACACCAGAGTTTAACAATTGTTCATCACTAAATACAGTACAGATATTTTAATAAGGAGAGGTTATTTGAAAGAATGAAATTGATTTACTGATGAACAGAATTTAAACAGGTGATTTGCCGTTAGACTCAGATGGCCTATCTCAGCGGAACAGAACCCCGTCTGTGAAAAGGATTAGAGCAGGAGCCCCGAGAGCCTGGAAGCTGGTGGTGGAATGGTTGAATGGAGCATGAGTGATGAGATGAGGCGTGTACAAGGAAGAATAACCGAGGACACAGCATGAATGCTGATTGGCCTGGAGAAGGTGATTGGACTAGACCACTTCAGGAACGCCTTTAGCCACACCTCACCAGGTGTAGACAATCGGCAGTTAAACCTAGGCAACACCTGAAGACAACTGCATTTCCACTGTAAGGAGTGTAAGGGTTGCAATGGGCTGTAACAAAGGACAAGCACAGATGAGTCCACTATCATAGACTGGAACATCATTCATAACTTTTTATGTTATAAAGGGGGTGGCAGTAGAGCTTCTGTGATTGGTCACATCAGAGAGTGCTTGGTTATCAGAGAGTTACCATAGTAACCAAAGGTTTTAAAGATTGCAATATAGCTATTGTTGTCCAGAGGGGCCGATGGTGCGATATGGCAGCCTCGCTTCTGTCAGTCTGCCCCAGGGCAGCTGTGGCTACAACTGTAGCTGCCTCCACCAGTGTGTGAATGTGAGAGTGAATGAATAGTGGCATTGTAAAGCGCTTTGGGTGCCTTGGAAAGCGCTATATAAATCCAATCCATTATTATTATTATTATTATTATCAAATCAACAAATATTAAAGAATCATTAAATATGTGGAATAGTTCATTCTTTCCTTTTTTCATCAGTGGTTTACACACTGGCTTGCAGGCAAAATGTCACTGGTTCGATTGCAACCGGAGATACAAATCAGGGTTGTGCCTGGAAGGGCATCTGGTATAAAACTCTGCCGTATCAAAAGATGCTGAGCTATCAGGTGTGGTGACCCTTGTGACAAGGGAGCAACTGAAAGTGAAACACTGTTTTGCTTTGTCTTTGTGTAAAGTGTCCTTGAGTGTTTTGAAAGGCGCTTAATAAAATGTATTATTATTATTATTATTATTAATGTTTTGTATAGAATCATAACAAAATGTGAAAAGTTCAAAAGACTATGCGGCTGTTTAGCTGTGCCTGTCCGTCTGCCATCAGCTGAGAGAGATGCCGGTCAACTCTCTGGAGAAGCCGTGGACGGTAGACCCCTCTGAGGTGGCAGAGCGGCGGGATCTTAGGGACAGTCGCCTGGTGTTCAGCATCGATCCACGCGGCTGTGAAGATGTAGACGACACGCTGTCTGTACACAAGCTCCCCAACAGAAGGCTGGAGCTGGGAGTTCACATTGCTGATGTCACTCACTTTGTCAAAGAGGGTTCGCTCACAGACTTGGAGGCACGTTCAAGGTGAGGAACTGGTTGGAGTGGTTGGGTAGAGTAGGTGGGATATAAAAGGATAAAAGAAAATTACAGCATCTTGCATAAGTGTTCAGAGGAACTTTCAGAAGTACAAAGAGGCAAGAAAGTTGTTGCCTGAATTAATGTTGCATCAGCAGCATGCCTTGTAGCGCAATTATAAATAACACAGAGGGCCACCTTAAATAAGGCTCGTGTCTGATGTGAAGCATTAAGCCTTAAATGTCTATCATTTAATCACATGTAGAAGGACTTCACAGGGTCCATGATGGCTTTGAAAGTATCACTGGCACCAGGAATTGAACCAATGGTCAGCACGTTGTTGGTTCAATCCCTGATGCCTTCGGGCTTCATGTTAAAGTCACCTTGCACAAAATACTTAACCCCCAAATTTCCCTGGATGCATCCGTTAGTGTGAGTGTGCATGTGAGAGAAAATGCTTAAAGGTATAGACTAACGCGCTGTATGAATATGTGTGCGAATGGACGAATGCTGGTCGTGCTAAAAGGTGGTTGGGGTTCTCACAGTAGAGAACTGCTACACACAGAACACAGTGGTCCATGTTGTTACGAAGAACTTGTGCTCATTTTGAGTACGATGCCATTAACAGGACAGGGGAATGTTTCCGCTGTGGGAAAGCCTGAGTGATTTTCACTGTGGCCTTCATAAACATATATTACTACGGGACATGGCAGCCATACTTGTACACAACATTCAACCAGAAGGTCATGCAGCAAAAAAAGGAAAAATGAGTCCGCTTCCAACTAAATTAGTTTTATTCTACTGAGTGGTAGAAGTAAAGAACAGTGTGTCACACATCATTTGTTTTCAGATCCCCTTTGTACAGTTACGGGTGTCAGGAAAACACCGGAGGTCACATGATGGCATGTGACCTTGAGTACCTGATGTTAATGGTTTGTCTATAATTGGCTTTCAGTGCATCTTATTAATAAAGAGGATGATGATACAAGACAGTTGAACCACAGTAATAGAACAAGAAGATATTCATCTGTGTTTATGTCCAGATATATGCACATGTTCTGATTTATTTATTTATTTTGTGCTGTATTGTACAAATGAATAAAACTGAGTTTAAAATATCTGCAGTAAATGAAGTGAAGGTCGGGGCTGCAAAAGTAATGCTTGCACTTGATCTCCACAAATTTTCCTTCCTGGGAACATGCAGCGATGACACCATGTGACAGGGAAGCAGCCCAAAAAAATTTGTGTCACAGCTGAACGGCCGACAAATCTGCAGCAAATGCATTCTGCTGTCATCTCGGTGTAATCTCGCTATAATCCAAAATCTCTACGGAATTCTTTCAGCACCTTGTTGAGTCTTGGAAGTGAAGAAAGGAGTGTTCAGAAGGCAGAAGTGTCTAACCCAGTGCTAATAAATGTATCTGATAAAGTGTAGTCTGCAGATAAATTAGTAAGAAGGTCCATGAAGTGCATGTCGTTTTTTAAAGGCAGCAGCAGCAGCAGCAGCAGCATGTACAGAAGATGATTGAGAGCCGAGTGAGGAGAGAAACTCCGTGTAGACTGTTAACAACGTGCACTTATAAAATAATACTGAAATCTTACTATATATTTTTTATGTTGTGATTTTTAATGTAGTTTTGGTCCTCTGCTTTCTCTCTGACTTACTCTAAAATTCCATTTTACATTTCATAGCTGTCCACAAAGCAGCGTGCAGATCACCCACCTGTCCAGCTCGCCTCCACACTTTAAAGAAGTAAATTAAAATCTCATGATTGTGGTTTGAAGCCTTAAATTCTATTTCAGAAAATGGGGAATATTTATTAAATCATAAGAAAAACATTTTGCTTATTTATTTCATCCTTCCTGACTTATTAATAAACAGAAGGATGAAAATGACAAAGGTGGAACAAACTCTGAATATTTAGTACTTATTTTCAAATTATGTCTCACTTTTGATTAGAAAGAAGATGATAAAGCTGCTGCTTTGATCTCATTGCCTTTTTATATTTATTATGTCACTTCTTAAGGGCTACAACCTACTACCTGGCAGACCGCAGGTACGACATGCTGCCTGCTATTCTCAGCGCAGACCTTTGCTCACTGCTGGGAGGTGCTGACAGGTTAGTAGACTTCCCATCACACGTTTCATTTTCATATGCTTAAAATGCATGCTAGTTGTGTAACTGACACTTTCAAATTCAGGTATGCAATGAGCGTGCTTTGGGAGCTTGACGCAGAATCCCTTGAAGTCCAAGAGGTCTGGTATGGTCGTACACTCATCCGCTCCTCCTATCAGCTCCACTACGAGCTGGCTCAGGCGCTCCTCAACGGAGAACAGGTTGAGGTAGCGGAACTGGCCAACCTGGGTCCTCAGGAAAAGGGTTCTAAGCTAGCTCAACTCACTGAGGCACTTGAGATGCTCACACATGTAGCCAGACATCTTCGGGCAAAGAGGGACAGAGGAGGAGCGCTGGAGCTGGAAGGAGTGGAGGTATGATTGGTTTCTTGTATCTTCATAGAGTATTTTGTGTGTTTTGGTAATGTGTGTACTTAACAGTAAGACTATATAAATAAAGACTGCAAACATTTAAGGTTCATGTTCTTAATTGAAAGCGTAAGCATGTTATAGCTGAGTGTCTAACCCTAACACATCGTCATTACTGACGTCTAACATACGACACAAAATGATTCAATGAATCTGAAGTGAATCAAACAAAGTAAACCGTGCACATAGCTTCAGTGGAGAGAAATCCATTCTGCACATTAAAAACTGGAACCACTATCTTTCTCGCACATTTCAGCTGCAGAAGATTCTCCCTTCTAAGCTTCTGTCTAAGTGAAAGTTTGACTTAACCTCTGTGTTTGGTCATTTTGTCAGATGACATCATGGTTAGAAAATTCAGTATCAGTCACCCCGAAACACTTCATACAGCCGAGGGGAGGAAATCAGGTCAAAAGACACCTGTGGAAAAGGGCCAGGGATTAATGATAACTAATGATTAAATGGAGATTGGTCTATAAACATGTAGTCAGTGATAATGATGACAAAGAGGTGATGATGATGTTCGGCGTCATCATGAGAATCCCCCAGCTGCCACGGTCTATTGCAGCATAACTAAGGGAGGATTCAGGGTCACCTGGTCCAGCCCTAACTATATGCTTTAGCAAAAAGGAAAGTTTGAAGCCTAATCTTAAAAGTAGAGATAGTGTCTGTCTCCTGAATCCAAACTGGAAGCTGGTTCCACAGAAGAGGGGCCTGAAAACTGAAGGCTCTGCCTCCCATTCTACTTTTAAATACTCTAGGAACAACAAGTAGGCCTGCAGAGCGAGAGCGAAGTGCTCTAATAGGGTGATATGGTACTACAAGGTCATTAAGATAAGATGGGGCCTGATTATTTAAGACCTTGTATGTGAGGAGCAGGATTTTGAATTCTGGATTTAACAGGAAGCCAATGAAGGGAATCTGCTCTCTCTTTCTAGTCCCTGTCAGGACTCTTGCTGCAGCATTTTGGATCAGCTGAAGGCTTTTCAGCGAGTTTTTTGGACATCCTGATAATAATGAATTACAGTCGTCCAGCCTGGAAGTAATAAATGCATGAACTAGTTTTTCAGCGTCACTCTGAGACAGGATATTTCTAACTTTAGAGATGTTGCACAAATGGAAGAACGCAGTCTTACATATTTGTTTAATATGTGCATTGAAGGACATGTCCTGGTCAAACATGACTCCAAGGTTCCTCACAGTGTTACTGGAGGCCAAGGTAATGCCATCCAGAGTAAGAATCTGCTTAGATACCATATTTCTAACATGTTCAGGACTCAGTACAATAACTGAATGAATTTAGACGCAGGAGTCTTCCAGGTCTTTATGTTTAGTTTGGTTTTTTGCTGTGTTATTTACAGAATTACAGATGGATACCATATATTTCTTTTCATCGATAATAAATTATAGTACGGTCTAATAGAGACGTTATTTTTAAAATCAGGCGTCTAAGCAGAACACGTTCCTCAGCAGAAAACATTTTATCAGAAAGTCATTTCAGTGAGAATATTGGAATAAAGAAACCAAGCACTCCACTGTGAAACCACTGACAGTTTTCACATTAGATCACAGCCATTTATCTACAGCGGCTGGTCGGCCATCTGTTAAAACCTCATATGGACAATTCCTGTTGTTCTATAAGATGCTCTCTAATAGGATGTCTTGGATTTATTTATTATTCAGTTATTGCATTCCTGTTATGGCTGTACGCACACAGAATATTGATATGAAGTAAAAATGATTCTCTCGGGTTGCTTCTGGGATAGTGGAAAAACCAATATATTTCTAAAAGTGTGTTTAATGATTGAGCTGCCACCCAAAAATCAAGTTCTTATCTTGACAAAGCTGGATTATTGACCGCTGGTGAAACATCAGTTGTCCTGAAGGATAAGGACAACAGATGTTTCATCTTGATCTATTATATAAAACGGCCAAAACTGTGTTCAAATCCAAACTTTCTGGCTTCTTTTGGTTCCTGCTGAAGTGCTTTGGGTCCCCTCAGTTCATCCTTAGTCTGAGAAAAGTTTTGTTCTCTCTTTAAGGCACATTTCCTTTGAGCTAACTTAAACTCTGATTGGCTGTCCACTATAAACAAAAAGCATGAACAGCAGATCGGTGGAGTTTCTGTGCCCATGAGCAGAGCTGTGTGCCTGTTAGGGATATGTGTTCTTACTGGTATGATAGAGAGCTGAACGTAGGAAAGACAGTAGACTGTTTTCAGGTTGAGATTCATTCACATTTGGTTCTCCGTGCAGCATTTGTTCCGGTGGAATGGTGCATGTTCAACTGAGTTAAAGTAAACTGTAGTAAAATGTGGCCCACTGATGCATTTTCATATTCTTTTTCATTGAAGTCACGTTAGAAGCATTTTCCCTTTTCAGGTGGGTGCCCAGCTGGATGAGGAGAGGAACATTACGGCCCTGGTCCCTCGTCAGCCCCTGGAGGTCCATGAGACCGTGGCAGAGTGCATGATTTACGCCAACCACTGGGTGGCCCGCAAGATCCAGGAAGCTTTCCCCAACCAGGCCCTTCTAAGGTGTCACCCACCACCACAACAGGAGCTATTCAACCAGCTGGTGGACACTGCAAAGGCCAAAGGTTTCACCATTGACACCAGGTAATGTTTTTGACTGTTCAGTATAGAAACTGAGGAAATGCATATTGTAGTCCAACGCACATCATGTTCAGACACACAAGTGTGTGAACCTGAAATGTTTGATAACACGGGGACACACTCAGGTGTCACATGAGCAGTCAGACAAGAAGAAGACATGTTCCTTCAGCTCAGGTTGAGGTTGAAGCCAAATATGCTTCCAAACCAAAGACTAGAACATATGATGAAGCATATCTTGCCTTTGGCTTCAGCTTCACAACAGCTGTCGTGGCAAGGTCGGTCTCCCCGACAGAATTAGTTTCCCCTGCGTCGGGAGCACACGCTGGGCTGTCCAAATCACGGACAAACAGGATCCCACATTCTTGATTTTCAGTTCACAAACACTTCTTATAACGACTAACTACTCCTGAAACTTTGGAGGTTTTAGCTCTTTACACAGTAAAGTTACAGGATAAATATAATTATCAGGCAAAATGTCCTTCGTTTGTTAAAATAATCCCGTCTGATACCACGAGAGGACAATAAATATTTCATTTTCTGTTGTAACCCTTAAACTGAATGGTAATGTAACGACACTCAGGTTTCACTTTTTTACAAAACTAAAACATCACTACTTCCACGTCTGACTGTTTGTAATGGAGGCGGCGTAACCTGGATCCACACTCCGTGCCCAGCGAACGCTCGCCACGCAGGGGGAACACATGCTGTCGGCGATGCCGACCTCGGCACAACGCTGATCCTGCCGCAGTTTGTTCCCCGGTTCAAATCCCGGACAAACAGGATCCCACAGCTGTTTATGCTTTTAAACCCGTTTTGCACAGAGAGCAGTGTTGAATATTCTCACACGGGAACAAAACAAACAACTCAAATAATTAAAGATGGTTTGTTTTTCTGTTTTTTAAAAGAGGCAGTGATTTATTTAATTACAACCTGTAATCTATTACAGTTAACTTTTATTTGTTTAACTGTTTACAAAAGGTCTGAGGATCTGAGGCGTGGAATGAACTGCAATGGAGTTTGAAAACAAAATATGAATGTGCGGTTGGAGGATTGTGGGGGGGGGGGGGGGTTAAACCAACAGCAGAACCGGTCCCAGGACAAGAGACATGGTGATGCAAGTAGCTTTGTGTCACTGACTGCTGAGATGAGAGGCCTCACTCATCCCTGGTTTCTGGCTCTGTTCCTTCAGGTCCAACAAGGCTTTAGCTGCCTCACTGGACCGAGCTGTGGACCCACAGGACCCCTTGGTGAACAGGTTGTTCAGAATGATGGCCACCACTGCTATGTCACAGGCTCTGTACTTCTCCACTGGTGCTCATCCTCAAGACCAATACTACCATTATGGTACGATACCGCTGCACAGCTTTTATTGGCTGCACTAGAGTTTCAGTGTGACTGTGGGTCAGTCCATCCATCACACGTCTGCACACACTTGTCCAACGTCTGTTGTTTGTGAAGAATTATTTGACTGAGAACTAGAAAGAAGGCTAACGTGCTGATATTTGCTTCGTTGTCGTAGGTCTGGCTCTGGATCGCTACACACACTTTACCTCACCCATCCGTCGGTACGCAGACATTGTCGTGCACCGCCTTCTTACCGCAGCCCTGCACATGCAGAGGGGCGTTGTATCTGGTAAAGCACCAGCCAGTAACAAAGAAGTGGAGGAAATGGCTCACCATGTCAACAGCAAGAACAGGGTCAGGGGTGTTTTATTGTTTGTGTTTTTCAATGATTCACCTCTTACTCTATTAACAGAAGCTGTGCTGACGTCTGTGTTTCATTTGCAGGCAGCACAGGCAGCCCAAATGCGATCCACAGCACTGTTTCAGTGTCTGTTTTTCAGAGAACGAGACCCTCAGACAGACCCGTGCTGTGTGGCTGATGCTGTTGTCTACTCCATTCGAGACAACGGTGTCTTGGTGTTTATCCCAGAGTAAGAACCGTTAGTCCTGTGTTTTGTTCTGCAGTCTTCTTCTTTTCCTTTGTTTAATGGAGCTGTACAGCAGCTCACAGACGGCCAACCACTCGTGTATTTTTAATAGACGAATTCAAAGTTTATGACAATGAATGAATTTGTTGGAAGATGTAATTGCACGCTAATCAATGTATATTTAACAGTATACACGCTAGTTTTATTTTCTCTTAAAAAACCTCAAAATGAGTTTTAAATTGTATAAATTTACTAAACTAATTCCTTAAACATTTATTGTGAGCAGGGAAAATCGGCTAAAACCCCGAATCTTTTCTCTACCAGGCTTTAAATAAGTTAATTGCATTGCTGAAGTTGAGTCTGTGGGGAGGGACGGTGCTTTGGAGCCAGCCTTGTGTTTGTGGCACTTCTACGTTAGCTTAGCTAACCTCTGGAGGTTGCTGCTTGTTTATTGCAAGGAAAGTGTAATTTAATAACATCAGTGTTCTCCATGCTTGTGGTGTTACAGGGATATGCAATATTAACAGTTTATTAAAATGTAACCTGTGGTCATTTTGAGAAGGCTGTAGAATCCATGTAATGATTAAAATCACAGGGCGCAAAGCAGGTTGAGTAATATCACTGAGTAAGTAAGGCTGCCTCTGACCACAGCCATGTTGTTCACAGGTATGGTGTGAGGGGGCCTGTGTATCTGAAGAACAAAGAGGGCCTGGTGGTGGTAGCGGGACAGGACGGCAGCTGTGATTGGCAGGGTGGCACTGTGCGAAAATACCCGGACCGCATTACCACCACCTCCAGCTGTGGCACCTCCACCTTCAAACTGTTTGACCACATCACCGTAAGTCACAGAAAACGCTAATCAATCATTTTAGAAGGTTTCCAGCAATGCAGCGCCTAAAGGCGACGATTCCAAATATATATGCATGAGTGTATATGAATCACAGGTTCATACGACTACTGGATCTTTTGTGGTCCAACATTAAGAGACGTTTTATGATCTTGTTGTGATAAAGTGTTGTGTGGTTGCTGCTTTGTTAGCTAATCTCAAGGTAACAAAACGTCAGTAAGATGAATGAGACGAAAATGATTCCTGAAAATAAATCATTTAAAGTTATTCAGTTTATTGTTTTTAAATATTATATGAAAACAAAAACATAAGTGTGGGGGGGGGGAGGCTCTCCTCCAAGACAAGAAATGTAATGCTTCCAGTTTGTGGCGTTTCTACACAAACCTTTTTGTAAAGGGAGATAAAAAATGACAGTGGGCGGTAATTGTTTTCACATAAACGCCTTTAAACGCTGCACGGTCGCACTCTCTCTCTCGCACTCGATAAATGATCCATTGTTGCTCTGCACACGTTTGTTACCACAAACGTCGCATGCACTTATGTCATTGTCATGAGACACTCTTGCAAACAAACTCACGGTTTAGTAACACAGTAGAGCAGCGTGTTTACGGGACAGTAACAGTAATCTAATTACCTTTTTTGCAACAGTAATCCCTTACTTTACTCGTTACTTGAAAAAAGTAATCTAATTATGCGTTGCTGCCCATCACTGGCGTCAAGTTATATTAAGTTCAGGCATGTTACACACGATGATTGTGAGGAATAAGTGCATGTGATTTAAGCAAAAAGAGCAGGAAACATTACCCTAAGGTTAGCTAACAAAAAGAAACTGAAGTAACGGTGTGTTATTCTCACATCTTTGGCTTTAAGACATGAAAAAGTGACAGAGTACTGCTGCTTCCACTGTTATCAACATCTTTTCTTTCTTTCATGGACTTATCCTGGGGTCATAAATGTCAAAGGGCAAAGGCAATGCTAACAACATAGCTTACTGATGGATGATGATGGATGACACATGTGGCCAAAACAAGATAGAAAGAAACATTAGCCCAAACACAAGTTGTCCACCACAGCATTGACTGCTGTCAAGCTATGATCATATCAAACAAAGAGATGATGATGATATTCAACAAACAAATCAACAAAACAACAACCTCACTGTGACACTTGACCGAGGTCACAGTGTTAATGAATGTTTTTCTCCCCTCTGCTCCAGTCTCCACGTCGTGTGAATGTTAGAAAGCACAGTAAAGAAAGTTCGTGTACGGATGGATGAACGTTTGTTACATTGGATACGTGTGTGTAACATACGTATCCAATTTATCCTATTTATGAACAAAATTGTGGCACAGTCGGAAACTTCTCCACTCTACACCACTGTCTACTTAGCTGTGACGCTGCGCACAGTGCTGAGAGGACTGCTGTTATATATTACGTCACAAACCTTAAGTGGGCCTGTCTTTGCATAGCATTCCATTAGACTATTTTCAGTAGGTGCCATTACTGTGTAGTGATCGAACTGAGGAATACTGTGACTTACGTTCTCTGCTCTCTTCAGGTTCGTATTTCTGTCCACTCTTCAACTTGCCACGCTGACCGTCTAAACCTCGAGGTCATCAGCAACAAGCCTCACCACAGTGCCAAGTCCCAGCAGCCCAGCCCTCAGGGCCGCAGTCAGCTGGTCAAAGAGGTGGTGCGTCAGAATGAAGAGGCGCTGGCTCAGGAGAAGACAGCCCGGCGCCCCAAACTCTCCAAAGAGGAAAGAGAGTTTCGTCAGAGCAAAACTCCCAGTCTGTACTCTATTCTGGAAGAAATCAGAGAGTTGGCTCTGATGGATCTGGAAAGGGCTTCACGCCTCCCGGCAACAACAGCATAGAAACGCTGTAGCCCAGCTTTACCTCCAAGCAGACACTTGTGAGAACTGCACGCTGTGCGCTAACAGAACGGTGATCATTGAAGATCACTCGTGCTGAGTCATCCAGGTCATTCTTGTAGCTCCAGATTGTGTGTGGACAAACCACACGAGTGTGTGAAGTCACAGGAAAGCAAACACAATATTAAGTAAAAACATGTCCCGCCATCTTTTTAGAAACCAGAGTCAAACCGAATCAGTGGATACGTTTTGTAAAAGTTGTTTTTAAAATCACATCAAGTTAAACTTAGTTGTAAGGAGGATAGGGAACGTGTTAATGCCAGTGAAGTGTCAGCAGTTACTTTGACAAGACCTAGTACTCACTGCAAATGTGGTTCAATCCTGCAGGAAACTAGTCAACTGCAGCAGGTTAAAGAAGTCTGGTAACAAAAGGCTTTTCTCTCAGCACCAGTGATCTCAATATCTCACTGGTGGGATCAATGTCTTGTGTAAATTAAATGTCTTGTGTTATAGAACCATTTTTGGTGAGTTCACACATATTGTACTACCTGTGACCACTTCATACAAAACCCAGCACGAGTATTGTTCTGGAGATGATAAAACGTCCACTCGTCCATTTTCTTCTGCACGTCCTGGAATCTGTCCCAGCTGTCATAGGGTGAGAGGCAGGATACGCCCTGGACAGGTCACCGGACTGATAAAACTTCATGTCACTCATTAGCAGACTTTAAAATAAACCCGTAGAGTAATGAAATACACCTGAGGTTGGTTGTGTTGGAAGTGATGTATAAAACTAGGATGTATTTATCTTATAGTTTGTATATCAAGAGCCTGTATAGAAGACACCAACACCAAGGACATTTTTATTGTTTGAACTGGTAAATAATCAGAAGCGTTTTTTGGTTTGTGGATTTTAAGATTGTTTTCTAGAACTACCAACAGAAATATGAACTGTACATAACTATTTCAATATGTGTGCAGTGGCCTGTAATTAAAAATGGTGTTTTCATTAGCGCAGATGGAGCCACTTCATCGTGTTGCGTTTCATGTCCCTGCAGTAGCTTAAGAAAGAACTGTTCATAATTGAACGAGCACTTAATGCTTGGAAGAGGGTGATGGTCAGTTGACAGCTCACATACTACACACACACAGAGGCCTTTTATAGAAACATGTTTGCAACCAAAATTCTGCCAATAGTGAAACTGGAGAAAGAAGATGCATCAGAGCAGGAACTGTGGATCAGTTCAAATATTTTTCTGTAACAGATACCAACACATGGTAAATACGTTTAGGATTTGGACTTTTAAAAATAAGAAAAACATTTATTTCCATTGATTATAAATGTCTTTGCTAACCCAAAGCTGACGTCACAGTAGGAACATGTGCTCAAGATATAAACCACCAGAAATGCACAACATTACTCGAATGAGCAGGCACGAACATTGGGAAACCTTTAAATCTGCTCACTGCCAAAGCTTTTCAGCAGAAACTGCTGCACGTGAACTTTAATCCCCCTCTACACAGTCGTTGCTGAGCTGTTGCTCAGGGCTGAGGCCGGTCTCAGCCTCAGCGGGCTCAGAGTCTTTGGGGGGAAGCGGGCTGGTTTGTTGCGTGGAGGTGTTGTTGGAAGGCTCGAGGTCAGGATCTTCTACAGTTTCATCTCCATCAGTAGAACCTTTGATGACATTTGGTGAGGATGCAGCTGGAGGTTTGTCTCCTAACATGTCAGCAGTCTGAGAGGCTGAAGGGCCTGAAAGGGTTGAGAATTAGAAACAGTGATGGTTTCAGTCAACACAGACACACTCAGTCTACTACGATTTATAAAAGACAGGCAAAGCTGAGATAATGAAAAATGAAACTGTAAACTGCAGGGTTCAAACTCATTGTTCAGGGTCAAATTTAAGCACTTTAAGCACTTTCAAGGTCCATTATCAAGCTTTTCCAGCACATTACCAAAAAAACAGTTTGCATGTTCCACTTTGCATCACCTCAGTAAGACCATGTAAAAATTAAAACAAATCGTCTTAGGTTGACTTAAATGTTCTTTGTTCCTCTTTTGTTAAAACAGAGAAAAATGCACCACACAAAAATACTGAAAAAGGAAATGGTTGTCTTATATGCATATAGTGCACAAACTCAAAAAACTCATTTCTCTCAAAAATGCAGATGTGCAAATGTGAACAAATCAACTTGTTAGAGATGCTCATCTCCACTTGGAAAAAACAACCACACAAAAGAAGAAATCTGCACAAATGAACAAGTCTGCTCATCAGATATTGATGCTTCTTTCCTACGTGACACAACAACAGGAGACAGATGTTTGGTACTTTAACTAGTTAAGCACCCACACCACCAAAAATGGGGGAAAAGAGAGGAGATCACATTTAATCGGTTATAACACGAGGTCAGAAATATAAGTGCAGACATGAGTGTCCACAGAAGCCTCTGAATCTCAGCTGTAAACCATTTCTACAAACACCAAACAGTTAAAAGAGCAGTTACATCACCATGAATCTGTGGACAGGTAACATCCATATTTTGATTTATGATTTTCTGGAGTTAAATGTGACCCAAAGTATATTTTATAGCATATAAGCTATAAAATACTTTTAAAAATTAGGTGAGGGAAATAATCATTTTTTTCTATGTTTGAGTCCCAGTAACTTTGACATAGTAACATCTGCAGTAATATTTACCCCTCTGATGACAGCTCACAAGCGTTAGCTTTATTTTGATACCAAGACTGTTTACACAGAGTTTGTAATTGCAGAGAAATACTCCATTTATTTTGGCCTCTTCATTTTCGAGCAGGAAGCTCAGAAAAGCCCTGGGGCCTAACAGGTCAAAGTTCATTCCCAATAAAACTAACTGTGAGATGTTTGACTACATTGCTCTCTGGATTATTGTTACAGTCCTAAATGATCAGCTTTAAAGTGTTTGTGCTAATAACACCATGTACAGTAAGTTATAAACTGTAAACACATTTTTATGGGTGAAGGCTCATAATAGAGACCGATCAACAGGTCATTTTCTTTTCTATGGGTCTCATTTAAATCACATTACATCATTTCTGCGGTAAATGAGGACCCTGAAGAACGATTTAATGTCACTGTTAAAGATTTGTAGACAATAGATCGCAGACAGCTGGCTCCGCTTTAACTAAAGAGGAAGTAAAAACAGTTTGGATCACAAGTGTAAGGCAAAAACAAAAATACTACGCCTAATTGAAGCTGACATCAGACAGGCAGTAAAGAAATCAATGTTTTCTACATGCTTTGCCTCTTATTACCAAACTCCACACTAATGTGAGGAATCTCTGGTGGTTTGGACGAACTGTGCAATACGGGAACTCGTCACTCGACCTTCAGGGTTTCTGGTGGATATATACACTAGATCCACTTCACTATATTGTAAGGAGTATTCACTCACCACCCATCATCCAAATCATTGAATTCAGGTGATCCAGTAACTTCCACAGCTGTATAGAATCAAGCACCTAGGCATGCAGACTGCTGCTACTAAGTGGAAGTGTTTGGGAACGACAGCAACTCAGCCATCAAGTGGTGGATCACGTAAAATCCCAGAGTGGGGGTCAGTGGATACTGAGGCGCACAGAGGTTGCTAATTTTCTGTGGAGTCCATCGCTCCAAACTTCACGTGGTCTCCAGATTAGCTAAAGAACAGTGCACAGAGAGCTTCGTGGAATCCATTTCCATGGCCGAGCAGCTGTAGTCCAAGCCTTACATCACAGAGTGCAACGCAAAGCAATGGGACACAGCGGTGTAAAGCACGCCGCCACTGGACTCTAGAACAGGAGAGATGCAGTCTATGGAGCGACGGATCACAGTTCTCAATCTGGAAAGCCGATAGACAAGTCAATTTAGCAGTTGCCAGGACAACAGAGCTCCAGGTTTGGTGGCAGGGGGATTTCGGTGCGGGGTTGTTTTTCAGAAGTTGGGCTCAGTCTCTTCGTTCCAGTGAAAGGAACTCTTAATGCTTCAGCATGCAAAGACATTTTGGCTCCCGACTTTAAGGGAACAGTTTGGGGATGGCTTCTTCCTGTTCCAGCATGACTGGGCACCAGTGCACAAAGCAAGGTCCACAAAGACATGAACTCTGGCATGGGAGTCCTGACCAGAACACCACTGGGATGAATGAGAGCAGAGATTTGGAGCCAGGCCTTCAACATCAGTGTCTGACCTTACAAATGGTCATAAACTCCCATAAACACTCCCAGAAGAGTTGAAGCTGATATAGCTGCACAGGCGGACGTCGTGAATGGGATGTCACTCGAGTTCATATGAGTGTGGGGGCAGATGAGCAAACACTTTTGGCAATATACTGTACATTCAATGTTTTGCTTTTTGTATTTTCATATAAAGTTAATACACCAATGAAGCTAGATGATCCTTATGAACCTTCGCTGGATGTTTTGTAGCAGAATCATTAATTATTTCTGTTATATTGTGTCCCAGCTGTATGATACATTTTTGCCATTCTTACCAATTTGCTGCTGGCGTGCGCGCCTCTTTTCCAGGGCCCGCTGTCTGTTCAGCTCAATACGTTTCTGCTGCTCTTCGGTCAGAGAGGGAGTAGGTGGGGGAGCGAGGGCTTCGGCAATCTGCCCTTGGGGAGCATTAATAAAACTCTCTCTGCTGAACAGATCAGGATCCCCAAATGTTTCCAGTTCACGTTGTACCTCTTCGTCACCAGCACCTGAACACAATTTCAAGCAGTGCTGATAATTAAGTCCTGTGGAATATGGCAAGTATTTCCTATGTGCACCTGCAGGTGTGAATCCACCGTAGGGCTGTTCGATACAACGATATATACAAAAACGTCTATTTCATTTTACGCTATCGTTTGTTTCGTGGTGTCGCAAAATAAACTGTTTACGGCAATATTTCTTCATGGTTCTGATGTCACTGTAGTAAAGTTCTCTCTTTCTCTTATATATAACCACACTACGGACGGACAAGCG